AAGAGATATGAGGACCAACAACGTAATCCTGATCAGGTATTGAATAACAATCAAAGTCACTCGCTACAGCCAGGTCTCTCTGGGAGAAACGTGGAAAAACCTGTAGACTTCCAAGAATTATTGTTGGCTACGATTAAACAATCAAATCCCACTGAAAAAGTAAAAAAACGAAGAGTGGCTGAAGGTGCGAAGGTCATAATAAATGATAGAGTTTAAAGTCTCATGGAAGGAAGCAAAAGTCAAAACTTTGAAGAAGATAAAAATGGAGAAAACTTAAATGAAAACATTATATTTAATGACAGTGATGATGATATAGAGAAAGAGATTAGAGAGATGGAAGAACTTCATGCATGCATGACGGTAATGGATAAACCTTTGATAGATATAGATAAAGGTAACTGGGTGTTAGTGGCTTTATTAGAAAAAAAAATAAAAAGTACTATGTTGGTCAAGTTATTAAGGCAAAGAAAGATGAAGAAGAAATGGAAATGAAATTTACCAAAAAAGTACCTTCGTTAGATACCTTGTTTAAAAAAAATAGCAGAAAATAAGATTTTGCTACTACCGCTTATTAGGAAGACAACAAGTAACGTACTGATGTAAAGAAATTTAATTATTTTCTTTGGTTGAATTTTTACGAGTACATATAAATAAACTTGCATAATTTTACTAAACTCTTACCCCACCTTACCTTATTGATTTTAACTTAAGGAGCTCCTTTCGCCACCAATGTTAAATAAAAACTATTAGATTATGACTAAAATTAATTTTTTTCTAATAGTAGATGTCCTTATTTATCTAATAGTGAACTTTTAACTATACCTTACCGTGCAAATTTTTGAGAATTTTTTTTTTTTAAAAATGTGTTTGTTTGTACAGTCTTATGAGAAAGTAAGACTTCAACAACAATTTTCGAATTATAATTAATTTTACTATTATTTATTGATTAGATGAAGTAGAAAAAAACTAAAAATAAGGTTTTTGAAATATTTAGGTTTTGTTTTTTACAATAAAATATATAGGTTACCGTGGAATTTATTGAGAAATTATTATTAAAAAATCACAAAAAAATTTCAACTAGGTTACTTGAAAATTTTTTGTGATTTTTTAATATTAATTTCTCAATAAGTTCCACGGTTTACTATATATATTTTATTGTATAAAACAAAATCTAAATATTTCAAAAACCTTATTTTTAGTTTTTTTCTACTCCATCTAATCAATAAATAATAGTATAATGTACAAATACTCACATTTAAAAAAAAAAATTCTCAAAAATGTGCAAGGTAAGGTATAGTTAAAAGTTCAGTATTAGATAATTAAGGACTTCAACTATTGGAAAAAAATTAATTTTAGTCATAATCTAATAACTTTTTTTTTAACATTTGTGGCGAGAGGTGTGGCGAAAGGGCCTCCTTTATTTTTCAGAGTGATACGATTTTATTATCAACCTATAGATGACCTAGAAATTTATAAACAAAAGTTTTAGATTAAAATAGATGTTTCTAATATTGAATCATTTTATTTAACAATAATTTGAAGTACTTTTTTTGACCAATTCTATAATTGGTTATAATTTTCAAAAGTTGTTGGAATAACAAGTACCCTAGAATGGGGATGAGATATATCCTGTATATATCAAAATATGAGTTTATATCTTCTCTATTCATTTTTGATTCAAAAATTTTTTTTCAGCGATTCGTTACCCGCATATATATTTTTTTTTTGCTGATCCTATTCACCTGCCATTGTGGTGAATAGGATCGACCATGCTTTTTTAATGTTTAAACGCGTACTCTCTTCTGTGGTGTGTATAGGATCACTTAACTTTTAAGTGTGAGTCCACCTAGAAATTAAAAACCCGGCTCGTCGGAAAGGTAGCTAAAAACTGCTGAACGACAAAATATCACTGATCGTTATAGAGGGAATAGTTAGGCAACCAATTAAACAAAAAAATAGGAGTTTCGATTAAAATATAACTTTTTGAGGTTTTGACATAGAAATAGTATAGAAAGCCGATTCCATATATCAAAAATGAAACCATAAGGAGAAAATAGTGTGTCGGAGCTCATGCGTATAACGGTGCTGGCGCGAACAGGACCGGTGCAAGTTTTTTATTGATCGAACAAATAGTTCGCACGATATTTCAATCATACATTTTTAGAGATGATTCTATACAAAAAACGATTAAAAAAATTTCAAGTTAAGGTAAATATGGTTCTGACAGTCCTTATTAAGAAAGATATGGCATAAAATATGAATTAGTTAATTTTCGGCAATCATTAGTACAGTAGTCATGAGATTTTGCTTGTGATTTTAAAAATACTTTCCAGAAAAACCACGTGCTCCGGTTTTGACTATGTTTATTATTAAACAGCGAAATTATATACAAAAACTTTAATCCACAATCTAAATTAGGTACTATCACAAGAAAATCACTGTTACAATAATTAATTACTTAACCAAAAACTAAAATACTTTTTAGGTACCCAGAAAGGAGCTGGACCATTTATCCTAATATTAATTTTCTCTCTCCCTACGGTAAAACTTAAAACAATAACAAATTGCCTATCTACTAGGGTCGGTAACTAAACGTATATACATAATGGGCGGATTTTGTTTATACTTAACATTACACTCGCGCATTTAAATATTTACAAAGGTACTTTTCCAAACAGGCAATCATTAGTACTGTAGTCACGAGATTTTGCTTGTGATTTGACATCTTATTTGATATCATTTGCTACAACTAAATTTAATCTGGGGAGTACACAATAGGGCCCAGGAATATTATGTTCGATATTTTTTTACATTTTGTCAGCCGAGACTATGAGTCGTTAGACAAAACCTTTCATGTTACCATTTTCAATATAAATTAAAAAATAAAAAAATACTACTACATTTACTTGGTATATATTTTATTTTAATTTTGAACCCTTTTAAAAGGGTCTTTCGGTTCCATAATAAAAATTAGTTGCTGCTTAATAGAAACATTCTATATAGCCTAAACCAATTTATAGTTTGTTTTCGATCAATTTAATACAAAGATTTAAAGTTTTTAGTCGATGATAACATTCCACACCAGCACATTGCAAACCTATTTTATAAATAATAGGAATAAACTTGTAAATCATTAATTTGGTAGTTATCTCACTCATATGATTTTTTTGTTTATATGAATATTTCGATTTCTAAATATATTTTGGCCTTACAATACGAAGCGTTTTGTATCTACCACTTTTTTAATGAACGATGAATGTTGACAGGCGTGTACCTTTTTCGGAACAAGAGGCGTTTTAACGAAGGAAATGATTTTCGAACTATCTAGTTAGTTTTCGGAAAAATAGAAAATGTTTGAAGAAAGTTGTCAATAACAGTTTGTCGTTCATGTGTTTCATTTTGATCAGCTTTCATACTAAATTGCGTAGAATATTTTTCCGATTCAAAATCGAGATTCTCGATATTTCCACAGTTTATTTATAATACCTTCTAAACTGGATTTATCTATCATTTTATATACTTTATAATATATGTTCATGCCCTACTTTTCACTTTATTAATAATTTTTTTTTTAATATACTTCAAAATGGTAGGATATTCTCAATTCGTTGAAATATTTTTTTATGTATGTTGAGCGATAATTCTTTACCACGTTGCCCGATTTCTAGGATTCTTTTTGTTAGAAAAGGAAACAGTTTTATATACATTAAGTCAAGATCTGAAGATGGGATCCATAAGAAAATCATTAACATCTTTATTTTTAAAGTAGGTTTTTTTTTAAATTTTTTTAAACCTTACTGGTTCGAACGCCGTAAGGAATGAAGAAATGTAAATAATTGTTGTGCCAGCCAAAAAACGAAGAGGAAGTACTGATTAAAATATCGAGTGACAGAAGAGTTCCTAAAATTGTTGAGATCGGGTTTATGTTTTAAAATGCCTTAAAACCGATATCGATAATGTCTCCCCGTCGCTGGGCAGCCTGTATATAAATATACAGATCTCTATTTACATAATTATAATTCTTAGGTAGGTTTAGATTTGCAGACATAAATCTTGTAATAAATATAACAGCTGCCTAATACATTGATTACATTTTCATTAGTCAATGTAAAAATGTCTTTTATTGTACCTAGGATTTGACTAAACACTACACAAAACTAAAAATAAAATGCCACTTTCATCGTGTAATTAATGCCGCGTTTGAGAATCCACATCGGATGCATTTTTTACATCTCGAGCGTTTTTTATCAACATCGGACACATCTGTCCCATTACATTTACGTATACTGAATCACGTGATCAAAGATTTACTACTTACTACATCTCAGATGCATCCGATGTGGATTCTCAAACGCGGCATAAATAATAAACTACAAACGGTCCTGTAAGGGCAGCGTCATATAGCGTTGAAACACCGGATTTTAGTGCTATTGCCAGGTCAATATTGAATTTGTAGGTGAATCGCTTATTGAACATTAAAAATACGGTATTAATGACATTAATACGGTATTTGTATATATTTTTGGGAATGTAATTACACATAAATATTATTAGTTGATTATTTAAATGTTTATAAGTTATTTTGTAGCGATATTTCGTAGATATAAACTGTTTAAATCATATAATTTAAAAATTAATTAATTTAAAATTCTTTTCTGTTAGGTATGTTTAATATATTTGGCAACACTACAGGGACAAGTCATGCTTATTGCGCAAGCTTCTAGACACACTATTTTGCGATGTCAGGCGCAGAGACGCATTTTTATGCACAGTAGGTTTCAATTTCTGCTTAAATGTTATGTTTATATTGGTCTTCTATATTATTTCTATGGGTTTTGAATATGAAAATCCCACTTATTGATCCGATTCACCTCAGCGATCCTATTCACCCATTCTACGGTAATGGTTCCCAAGATTTGGCTGATCACCACCCTTAATAAAACATCAATAAATTCCTATTAATATTCATTATCAGGCTTTATCCATATATCTGTACCTACCCCTGTAATAACAGCATCGCTATATTGGAAAGGGGTTAAATCTTCCGTGTGCGCATCCATATTAGTTAAAAAATAGTTATATTCTGCTGTCAAGAGTCCAACTTGCTGGAGTTGGGTAAGCAAAATTTTTAAGTGCCAAATAGGACAATCTAACACAAAATTTTTTTGTCCTGATCTTCCTGCGTTACGGAGTGATGGTCTAAAATTAAAAATAATTAAAAAAGAGCTTTTTATAATTTAATTATTAAAATGTATCCGCGTACAGGGTTGGGCAAAAGTTCCGGATCGGCTCGATTACAGCCGAACGGAATGTAGTTTCAATTTGGGATTTTCGACAATGTAATGAAAAAAATTGAAACTTTATGATTTATTATAGGTTCATCTAGTCATCATGTGAGGAGCTATAACGTTATAGTCAGTTTTTATAATAGCAATATCCTTTTTAAAAATACTTTTTGGGAGAGCAAATTTCTTTGCAAATACGCGTCAAATTTCATGTTATTTATATGTATAACAATATTACAAAAAAAATGTTTTAGAATGTTATTTATCATACGTCATTGACTAAAAAATTTTGTCATTTCGAAAATTTTGGTATGTAACATATCACTAAATTTGATATGCAAAAATGAACTCTTTTAATTAAAACTATTAAAAAACGTGTTATCATTTTAAAGACTCTAATAGTAAAGACTTCAGACGTAAAATTTATTTATATTAAAAAATACAAATCTAAAAAAAGTCAAAATGTCCAAGCATTTTTTTATGACATCACTATTTAAGATATGACGCTATGCCACATTTTTTAATGACAAACTCAAAAGAGCACATTTTTGTACATTGAGATCCTAAATTTCGTAATACCGGGTGTCCCATTATATTTTCCAACATTTAACAAGCTTGTAACTTTTAAACGAAAGTACTTAAAAACATGCGGTTTTCAACGAAATGTATTAAATTATTCCAAGTTTTGTTTCGGTCAATTCAAAATTATTTAGCACTTCCGGTTTAATTTAATTGCTCAGTCATTTATGTATTGATTTAAAAAAAGCTAAAAGGACTGGCGTTCGGAGCATCAAAAAATATACAGGGTTTTCCATTAAAAAAAAAAAATAGATAAGGCTTTAAAAAACCGCAATTTTGTTTTTCAGTAAACCGGAAGTGCTAAATAATTTTGGATCGGCCGACATAAAACTTGGTATAATTTGATACATTTTGGTGAAAACCGCATGTTTTTCGTTTAAAAGTTATAAGCTTGGTAAATGTAGGAAAATATAATGGGACACCCGGTATATTACATAACAATATTTTCAGAAACATTAAAAATATTTTTCAAGACAAAAATTGAGATATATGCCGTCAATGAAAGTCAATCCGTTAAAATTGGTCGTAATCGTACCAATAATTTGCCAAATCACAAAGTGTTCGGATTTTGTATACCTTGCTAAATTGAAATTAGGTATAAATTTAAAAATTGTTTTAATTGGAAATTATTTTATTTTTAAATTCCATAATTTCACCTCAGTTACTATTTTTAAGGAGATATTTATATGACAAGTAACTCAAGAAGAGCACCAGATATCTTAAGGGGTGATTTAAATAAAAGACGCGAGCGATGAAATTTCTAAGTTAATTAAGTCAAAAAATAATGAAACAATTTATGTAATTAAAAAAATTGTTAATTGTAAAATTTATTAAATTAGTTTAATAACAATGAGAAATGAACCTAATGTATTCAATACCCAACAAGAAATAATTTAATTTCACTGTCTCATCGCTGGCCATAAAAGAGAACCAAAAACGGTACCGCGGAAGTCTCATTTCAAATGTTTGAGTTGATGGAAAGCATGAATCTTAATTTTTGTCTTTTTAAACTTTTTAAAGAATACGTGCCTGATCAATTTTATTAGCATAAGTCTTCTCTATATTTTTTAATCTGTATAAATTCTGTAATAAATAAACCTTTGAAACCTTTCCAACTTTTTTATATATTTATTGACAATGTAAGTACTATAGATGGGTACTGATCATGGCTGTAAGCGAATTTAAATTTTAAATAAATTTTGCACTAAATTCAAGTTTTTTATTGGTTATAATAAATACCTGAAATCCCCATTATATAGGGGATCAACATTTTCAAGGTAAACTATTATGCCGTCATCCTTTGCCTTTCTAATGAATTCGTTAATTTGTAGCAAATTTTCTGCATCAGTGTACAAGATTGTAAAACTATTCCATTCTAGTGCTTTAACAATATCCAGAAAACCATCAGCCAGCCTGTCTGGATTCGGAAAAAAATTTATGGTGTGCAAACCTATTTGCGATGGATTGGTCCATCTAGTTAGAATGTGAGGTATATCCTTTCTGTCCGTTATTGATTGTACTATGTCAAGGTTGAGAGTAGATTGGGGTCCGAAAACACCTGAAATAATAAATATTTGTTGTAAGCATATTACCAAAGTGAAGTAAGAGTGTTCGTCCTTTACATACAAATATGTGGATGATGTTAATAGGATACGACTTGCAAAAACTTTAGCTTCTATTTTTTTGTCCCCAACCCAAAGCTGGAATAGTATTTAAAAAGAAAAAATACTTTCCCATCTACAATTCGAATGGATGACTTGAAATTGGCTCATATTTTATTGGTTGAATTGTAGAAACGGAATACCAATCCTTCACTGCACTATGGTATAGAAGATCCCAAATCTGCCCAAAATTAACAAATAATGAAAATAATAATTTGACATTAGTAACATATCATCAGCTCATAATAATATTCCATAAAAATTTCACTCAAATATCTAGTAGGCTGCAAATTAAATCAGTCCTGGTAACAGTACTTCACGATCTTGCGGATTAAGACTTTATTCATTTTATCTAGTTTTTTTACTTTTGACATCATTATACATTCATTATTCTTGTAGACAAGATCGTAGTTGTAGATTTTTAACATAGAAATAATTAAATTTTCTAAAAACCTATCTTTAATTTGAAAGTTTATTTTTGGCACAGGATATCTGGAATTGTCGCATATCGAACGTGCTCGATTTTTATCTCTACAATTAACCAGATATCGAACAATTAAACTGTTATGATTCGCAAGTGAAGGTGTTGGATGTGGAGTAGCTGTCAAGAAATCGAGAAACCCGGTCTATCGAAGACCCATTAAAGAACCCAAAGTCGAATAGCGACGAGGATTGGAACAACATCGTCCAGTGCTGCAAGGCTAACGAATTTTGGAAGAAAATTCCTGTAATTCAATTAAACCCTTTTGGATAATACTGATCTCAATGGCGTGTCAACTTGCATTATATTAAAATAAATTTTAAATCTACTGCTTCGAAACCGGTCATATTTTCATAGAACTCTATCCATGATTTCCGATGCCAGCATCTATTCATAAAGTTCTTATACACAATAAACAAATAATGGAAAAATATATTTTACCAGTTGGGTATTTGGGAGAAGAGGCATTAGAATCAAGAAACCAAATTTATAAGAAAGATCGAGAATATCATGTCCGAAAACAGCAGAGTTAATAACTTAACTGACATTTTTCAAAGAGCATTAGATACATCAGATCCTCTAATATCATCTTTGTCACTTCAGTTGCAAAGGTTAAAACTTAAAATTAAAAAATGCTTTATATTTAGAAAGCTTTCCGGGTTCCGAACTAGATAGTTCAGAGTTAGACAGCGAATTAAAAAATATGTGGTTGAATTTTCTTTTTGAATTCAAGTGCTAATAAAAGTTTCTGCGTTTATCTTTTTTGTGTCTCATAATTTATTTTTACAGTGACCTTTACTTTGTTATAACTTTGTTAAATGTAGAACAAAATTGTCACTCATATATCTTTTGTTATCCGCAATGAGCCTTGACTTAATTGAAACCTATGAGTATTTTTATTAGTACATAGTACAATGATGCTTTTAACTGAACTTAGATTTTAAAGTACCATCATCAAAAATGATATAAAGAACCCCGCACAAATCTTATGGAAATTGGCTCCCAATCAAATTGGCTAAAATTTGGATATGTTGTTCATTTCTGCATCCTGACTAAAAGTCTCAATGGACACAAAGCTCAATTTTGGTTATTTTGGCTCCTACGGAGCTCCAAAGCTCCACGGATTGACCATTATTTACTACTTAAAAAGGCAATCTCCTCGAAAGTTTAGTACTTGCGTTAAAAAAGAAGTGCCTTCTTATATTTTCGGGGTCGCTGCATTCAATTCCATTGCCAATATAATAATATTGACAGTTGACAGCTGTCAACTAGCTATCAAACAACAAACAATAATCAAAATTGATAAAATCCACATGTAAATATCTATTTTTGAGGTTGGTAAGTTCAAAACTGATGTAAACAACTCGATATTATCAGTTGACAGCAGTCAACTAACTGTCAAACAGTATGTGACAATCAAAATTGACAAAATTCAGAAGTAAATAGATGTCTTCAAGGTTGCTCACATTTTACAGCTGTCAAATAACTGTCAAGTCACAAGCAATAATCAAAATTGATAAAATCCATATGTAAATATCTGTTTTTTAGATTGGTAAGTTCAAGACTAATGTTAACAACTGGATATTGACAGTTGACAGCTGTTAACTAACTGTCAAACAGTATGTAACAATTAAAATTGATAAAATTGAGATGTAAGCATATGTCTTTAAGGTTGCCTAATTGTAATCTGATGCCAAAAAGACGATATTAACAGTTGAGTACTATCGTTAAATAAATATTTGACTGTGCATCATAATATGTCAAGATAGAGGAACAATGAGGTGGCAGCAAGCAATCTTCACTTGTTTTTAAAATATCGTTTTTCTTACCTTCAGTTTTGAATTTAACGATCTTAAAAACATACGTTTACATGTGGATTTTATTAATTTTGATTGTCACATGCTGTTTGACAGTTAGTTGACAGCTGATCACCGTCAATATTGTCTTTTTGACATCAATTTTAAACTTAGAAACTTCGAGGACATCTATTTACTCCTGAATTTTGTCAATTTTATTGTAACATACTGTTTGACAGTTAGTTGACAGCTGTCAAATGTCAATATTAAGTTGTTATTATCAGTTTTGAAGTCAGCTGCCATAAAAACAGATACTTACATGTGGATTTTTTAATTTTGATTATTGCTTATTGTTTGACAGCTAGTTGACTGCTGTCAACTGTCAATATTATTATATTGGCATTGGATTTGAATGCAGCGACCCCGAAAACATAAGAAGGTACTTCTTTTTTAACGCAGCAAAACTAAACTTTCGAGGAGATTGCCTTTTTAAGTAGTAAATAATTGCCAATTTGTGGAGCTTTGGAGCTCCGTAGGAACCAAAATAAGCAAAATTGAGCTTTGTGCCCATTAAGACTTTCGCTCAGGATGCCGAAACGAACAACATATCCAAATTTCAGCAAATTTGACCGGGAGCCAATTTCCATAAGATTTGTGCGGGTTTGTCGTGGGCCTCTTTAAAATAATTAAATTTTGTTTAGAATGTGATTAGGGGCCAATTTATATTGAAACAAATAAGTTAATTCAGCTTCGGAATATAAAATAATTTTGGGCAAAATAGTGGGCTTCTATACCATAGTGACTGGAGCCACGATATTTCTATATAATACATTTCGTGTCATTTTAAATACCTACCTATATTTGATTGTACTGATAACCTTACTGACTGCTCCATATAAAAATACAAAAAATTGTTTAAAATAAGCTGACTTACCTACTATGCTTTGTTTCAGAAAGGAACAAGTCCCTTTATAAGCCGTAAAAGGTTCATCTCTGAGAATGTACGGGTCGATAATGTACGATAAGTCGGCATCCTTCTGAGTTTTTTTATTTTTGTAAATGTTGTGAGAGTATGTGAATGCTGTTTGATGGAGTTGGATATTTTCAAAAATACCAGCTGTAATGAAAAACGTTTACGTTAGTAAAATAAGAATTATAAAATAGATTATGAAAATCATAAGTATACTATCATTATCAACTTAGATTAAGGTTTAAAATTGTCAATGCGAAATGGGCTAGCTAATAAGTGAGTCACATAAATTTATAAAATCCCGCAAACTCTATATGAAAGTAAATAACATGAATATGAATAAATTTCGCCTCTAATATACAAAAATAATATATGTTGTCGCAGTCGGTAGGTACCAAAGATATTGAATAGCTTTGTTTAGAGGAAAATTTACATTATAAACTAAAAGACCTGCGGGGCAACGGTAGTTTAGTAGGTATAAAAATTACAACTTAAGGGTGGAGCCTAAATACTACAAACTTACTTCCAAGACTAAACAAAATCACCATTCATTCATAATTTTAACAATTGCATGTAGATACGAGGGATACATATTCTAAACTCTAACGCGCGAAGTTGAGACAAAGAAATCGAAAAATCCTACCACGGCTGCCGACGTTCATTAGTTATTGAGTGAGTCAGATTTTCCTGAATTAGGGAAAGCAGAATCGTATTTGTTTTTCTTGCTGCATTGTGAGATATTGTTATAATGCAGTTCGATTTATTAGACGGTTTTTCATTATTTTTATATTTTAATTTAGTGAATAGCTCTAGTTAGATTAAATACATTTAGAAGCATAGAGTTGTGAAAGATGGGCAAAATAAAACCAGTATACAAATAACGAAAAAATAGAGGATTGTTTCGAATAAGGTAATATCAATTAATACAGGGTACTTATTAATTGAGTGCCGATACTCAAAGGTGTGAATGTTTGGGTGATTTCAAGAAAAAAAGTTAATATCAAGTTATGTCGTAGCACTCTTAATTTTTGAGTTACAGGGTGTTATAGTATTAAGAAAAAAATTACTATTTTATCATAAGTTTCTTATCAGTCTAGATATTTCTATGAAATTTTGCCCAGGAAAAAGTGTTTCTACTCATGGTGAGTTCCTACCAAATTTCAACAAAATATCAGAAGCAGTTTCAATAAACTTAAAAATTTTTTTTTGGTTTTTTGGTCATTTCCTAAAAAAAAACTAATAGACCTTTTTGAAATCGGTTTTCGGTGACTTTTCTTCTGATATTGCCTTGAAAATGATATGATTTACATAAAATACAAAAAACTGACCTATTATTTTTTTGAAATAAAAATATGTTGATATTTTCACAATTTTCGACTGTTCTCTGTTTGCAAAAAAAAGAATGTTGTCAAGCAAGGTCTTCTGTAGATATTAACACATTCTTTAATTGGCTTTTTAATTTTTTTAGTATTTTCATAATTTGGGAAAAAGTATAGCATTGAAACTCCTATACCCGAAAAATTGGTAAGTACGCTCTTAATTAATTGTCTGTTTTGTTATCTCACAATGTCGGGTATAAGAAGTTATATAGAAAAAGTTAGTATTCAATATCATCCAAAACAAAAACATGTTTAAATGAATATATTAAATAAATTATGACCATTCTTTAACAAAGATATATTTATTTGTATTATGAAAATAATGTTTATGTCAACAAACTTATGTTCGATATTTGTATCAATTTGTAAAGATATCTCTTGTTTAATGATAATATTAATATTTAAAGGTATTAAATAAGGACTTGAAGATATCACAGTTCGAAATTCCTTTTATTGACCATAATACTTTTTTTGGAATGAAAGCATTTGTTCCTGTTTTTTACTTTCCTATCTGTATACAGATATAAGGAAAGTATAGGAATCATGATTTTTTTCGACCTCGAGTTTTTGATGGATATTTACGTTTTGAGGTCCTCTGAATCCGTTTTGACCATTTTCGCGATGATGAGTGTGTGTGCATGCGTGCGTGCGTGCATACGTGCGTGCGTGTGTTTGTGTGTGTGTGCGTGCGTGTGCGTGCGTGGGTGCGTGTGTGCGTGTGTGTGTGTGTGTGTGTAAACTTAAGCTTTATTTCAGCGTCCAATGAAATGATTAGATTTTGGGCAGAGTCGGAACACCTGGGGGGTACTTTAAACGTGGTCATTGTTATATTTTATGGAATATATCTGTTAATTACGTTTGGAGAAGAAAATTCTTTAAGTAAAAAATACTTCTAATTATTCTAATTATTATTATCTATAATTTTTGTTTTATACAAAATTTTCCTAAAATGGTCCGTATTCGAGAAATTTTACAAAATGTAAAAATAATAATTTTTAATAAAAATTGTTTAATTAAAAGTTGTTTATAATATAATTCTCTATAATTTTTATCCTATACATAATTTCTCTAAAAGAAACCGTATTCGAGATATTTGGGAAAATGTGTAAATTTCGAATTTTGAAAAAAACTCAAAAACGGATAAAGAAAAAAACATTAAATTTTAAACATAAGTTTTATTTTGGCCTGACGTGAAAAGATTAGATTTTGGACAAAGTCGGAACATCTGGGTGGTTACTTTATGGGAGGCCGTTTTTATATGTTATGGAATATATCTGTTATTTATGTTTAAAGAAGAAAATTGTTTAAATAAAAGTTACTTCTAATATTATTATCTATAATTTTTGTTTTATGTCAAAATTTCCTGAAATGGTCTGTATTCGAGAAATTGGACAAAATGTGCAAAATTCTAATTTTTATGAAAATTGTTGAACTAAAAGCTGTTTGCGATATCGATCTCTATAATTTTTGTTTATACATGATTTTTCTAAAATGGACCGTGATGGAAAAATTGTAGAAAAAGTGCTAAATTTCAATTTTTCAGTATTTTCGTTTTCAATGAATATCTATAGAAAAATGTTTCGAGGTAGATGTATGTAGAAAATGTATATATTTAGTTTATCCTCTTAACATTTATAGAGGTGCTGCAATAGGTTGTACAAAATAACCGGAAAAAGCCTATAATAACTAGATAGGAAAGTAATGTGTTGGACACATCAGATTTTTAGTTAAGCTCCTTAAATTAATTCATATTTTAATCTGAACGCTACTTAAGCGCAATAAAGTTGCAACAACTAAAAAATATAGTAAGCTTTTCGAAAATTTCTAAGTGAAAATGAAAATCAATTTATATTTTTTATTAAATATATTTGCTAAAATTTTTGACCGTATGTAGTTATTAAAGTTATAAATAATTACGTTTTAAAGATTCATATGTGAATTTTCAATTTCAATTGATGTGATAGTTACTCATCTGCATTTTTTTAATACATGACTTGATTTTGGTACAAAACCCTGTATAGTAAAACTTCTAATCCGAATCAAATTCTTGAAATTAATATTTGGGAACTTAAAAACGTGGTCCACTAGTTGGTGTAGCCTTTCAAAACATTGGGTATAATAATAATTATTTATCATCAATTGCCACTGACACTGGTAAAATCCTAAATTTAAAAAAGCGTATTATAATAAGACATTAATCATATCTTAAATGGATCGCCTACTACCATTTTTAGAAATAAATAAAATGTAATTCTTAAATTAATAAACATATTCAAAATAATTTAAGATTCCTTGCGTTATGTTTATAAAAATTAAACAAAATTTCTCACGAATTATTTAGTATTCTGTCTCGTACTTTCCCATGTCTCTATTAGCTCCGCTGTCAACAAGTTCCGACAATGCATATTGCATATAAAAATTTTGAATTTTATTTTGTATCTTTTCTTCCCAAAAGCTGTCATGATGAGGAATTTTCTCCACTTTTATTTCTGCAGAAGTCCAAAAGCACAAAATGCAAAAATCTATTTGTGTTGCGTGCAGCTAGCCCTGATTTTGAAAATACCAATAGTGGTTCTCCTTAATGGTATTGTCCTTATTCCAAAAAGTTATTTCTCTACTGCATATTTTTTTTTTCTACAGTCAGCACTCTAGCTCCATATGGACATTTCAACTTTATCATAGAATTTGTTTTTTTTTAATTCCATCCAGATTTGCAGCAACATAATCAAATTCGGATTCAATAAAATGTCCACTTTGCAAAACTTTTTCTTGTAAATAAATTTTCAAATCCTATTTTGCTCTGAATTTATGGTCCCTATAATATCGGATGGCTTTAGCAATAAATAAAAGATTTTAAATTTTTTACAAATTTCTTCAAATTTTAAAGCAGTGACTCGTTTTCGTCTTTTATTGTGCCACAATGTACAATCAGCTTGTCACAATCGTTTTTTCTCATCTATAGACATTGGCTTATATTTTAGAAAATCTTGTTTTGCAACGTGCCTCAAAGAGTGCGACATATCTAAGCCATGTGCGAAAGCAAAAAAAAATGATTTATATTACTTTAACGAATTAAAAAGTTGTTGGAATTAATAATTATTGTTAACTCAGAGAGGTATTCATTAAACAAAAAAAAAACCGTGCGCTATGATAGTTAGACAAAAACATATTTTTATAATTGACATCTCATTGTCAGTGTAAACCTTTAAATTTCGGATAATTTTTTTAATAAATGAATGATAAAATTAATTTGATATAATTGAGCGAAATTACTGTATGTAAAAAATAACATAATGAATTCAAATTACTAAATAGTTGAAAAAGATATATATTTTGTTGGTGTCATCCTCTAAAATAAATGCTCCTGTAGGCAAAAATTAAATATATTGTTCCCTTCTAGTATTTTTTAACATTTCTATTTCTTTTCGTTTCTTTTCTTAGATTTTTTTCAAAGTTTTAAAGTGGCTCCAGAAAGTTACGGGTTTAGCCTTTACCTGTACTTACATAATTTTCTTTATGTAAAAATAAAAAATATTCCGTAAAATTGGTGTACTATGAAACCATTGTATATAATATATATGCCAATCTTAGTATTGCAGAAATGATTTACGTAAAAAATAAGGTGAACAAATGGTAAAATTTATTTATCCCTCGTAAAATATATTATAAATTGTTTTCATTCACAAATATTAATTTCTTAAAAATCTAACAGAGGCGCTACTTTCCGGACGAAAAATAAGGGTTTCGTATTGCCCCACTTTTAAAATT